AGCAGATACTACCATATACCTAAGGCCACACATGGCACTGATTTATGCCCCAGAAAACTGTCATGAATTTTCCCTCGAGTCTGTACAGTTTTTCCCCCCACTTTCACCCCCTTTTGGAAATGGCCTCAAACTAGTTTTCTGTGTGTGGCACTTTTTGGCATCAAACAAACATTTTCGCTGTTCATTTGTCGAGTTGATTTTTATTTATGCATATTTAATATTTATCGAAAAACCAAACTGAGCAAGATATACATACATATTTATGTAAATATATATGCGAGTATATTCTATGATTCTCCTCCGTCTCTATGGCTAGTTATTAAACAAAAGAGAGTGGCAAAATTTATAGCCATATTATTTGTTATTTATTTAAGCTATAAATATGCATATGAAATGAATGAATGCTAGCAGCAGGTTTTTTCATAATACCCTATACACAGAGGCTATCCGACTGTGGGGTTTTTTGTAGAATAATTAAATAAGGTTTTTCGGAGAGTAAATAAAAACTATGAAATTACCCAAGGAGATACATTGATATACATATTTCTATTGATATATTTAATTAACATTATGACATTAAGGAAAAAAGTGAAGGCTTTTCAAAGAATTTAACTTAATTGTTTTGTGCCTTTTGTGTGAGCTTTTAATTGATTTAAATGTGTTTATTATTTTTTTATAAGTTAATTTACAAATTGAAGATGAAATTGAATCAGTATAAAAGTGTATAATTATTAGTTTTATAAGGAGAAATATAATATTTATATTTATATGAATTAATTAAAGTAATAATTGGAAAATATTTATCTCATTTAAGATTTGTAGTATAAGAAATATTACAGAAAATTTAAATATAAATTTATTAAATTAATAAAAGCAAAATAATAAAATCACTTTAAACTTTTAGTAAAGCAAATACAAAAGATATGATATAAATTAATTAAAATAATAATAGCTTATAATATAACCAAATCTCACATTTTAAATATAATAAAGATTACAAAAGATATTAAAGATTAAAATTATAAAAAGAGCTTTTCTGAACTAAACTGTTGTATAGATAATTTTTCTAGAATTTATAAACATTTCCAAGGTATTTCCCTCTTCGATTTTACCTTAATTTTCAGTAGTTATAGGGGGTTTTTTCGGTGGGTCCGCTCGGGCTGTGCTATCTTTCTCTCTCTGTGTGTGTGGCTCCGCCTGCCACTGGTTTTTCTGTTATGTTATTTATGTGGTCATAAATTTGCAGCTGAAAGCAAAGCTCCGAGAAATGGCTCCATGGTTCCATGGTTCATGGGGACAAATAGTAAGCACGAACGGAACAGCACACCAAAAATCCGTACAGAATTCCAGATCTCTATCCCTGACTGAAGGTTAATGCATAGTTATAAAGGTAGTTTTTAATTAAATATAAAAAAAAAACAGTTTTTTTATTTTAAAATTTATCTATGAAATTATTTTCAAATTAAGTGAAAGTTTTTATGAAGTTTTAAGGCTGTTTTTCATAAAATCAAATATTTTAAAGCCTTGACTCTTAAATTTTATTAGTATTAACTAATAATAAACAAGCAGATATATTTAAAAAAAATTTTAAAACATACATACATTTTTTTTATAAGAGAAAACCCACAACTCCTTAGTTTTTTCCCAAAGCTATGCCTCTAAAAACCGTAAATCCTAAGCTCGAGTACATTTTCTTCCTGTGTAGTCTTAAGCCTTGACGCTTCGCTGCTCCTGTGGCTACAATTCAGACCGAGAGCTGAGTTTATTCCAGTTGAAGTCTCGTTGAGTTATACGTGCAAATGAGCATCGGCAAAGCCGCTTAAGGACAGAAGCTTAGGCCACTGCGCTCCGCTGATTTTGAATGGAACTGAAGCCAACCCCGACCAAAAGGACCACAGGACCTTCTCCTTCTCCTCCTCCTCGAAGGCATTTGTCCAGCGTGTGTTACATAATTTACCGTTGCTGCAAACATTTCCGCTGAATTTGAGGCGAGCACGCAACCGGAGGACCGGGATATTTCTTTATAATCAGCTGGGTGTCATCATAAGGTCATCACGCAATGCCCATTGTTGCTCACATCATTTGTCGGGGGAGGGGCAGGGAATAAAAAGTCGGAAAGTCAACCCTGAGTCCGGGTTCGAGTCCGAGTGCGAGTCCTAGTCTGAGTCCTAGTCCTGGATCCTTATCGTACGCCATGCATCGCGCATAATGTGCACGGGACACGTCAGGACGCGAGAATCTAGATGACCCAAAGTTGGTAACATAATTTACACGGAAAATAAAAATGGAAATATTTTTATAAGGCAAATTAAATATTTTTTTAATAGCTAATTAAAATATTTAATCTTTTAGCTACCTAAAAAATTACTAATTTAATCTTAAAATTGACTCCAAGATTCCAGAAACAGTCTTGTTTTCGCTGGGTTTACTATATCAACTAAATACTTATCTTTAACTTTAAATTACATCATTATTCAACAAGGTTTCATTTTAACTATTTTAAAATATAATTCCCCTCTTTTTTTTCTAGGTGTAAGCAGCAAAAATAAAGCTGCGCCCGCCGACGAGCGCTTGTAAACAAATTAGAAGCGTATCCTGGCCGGAAGTCAAGGCGCAACAAAAAAAAAAGGAAAATAAAAATACTCAAAACAGACACAAGACCCGAAAAAATGGACAGTCAGGTTAGTCAACTTTCCCTTTTTTTTTGTGGGAATATCCTTTTTTATACCCTTTTGAGTTGGGTGTAACATCATTTTGAGGGGAAATAAAACAGAAATCAAGGAACTTGATATAATTTGTTATTTTATAACTCTGATAAAATTAATAATAAAATTTAAAGACAAAAATGAAAATGAAAATTTTAATAATTTAATTATAAATATAATTATAATTTAATACTTTTTTTATGAACATTTTTGGAATTATTTATATAAGGTATTCAAATATTCGTCTATCCAAAAATCCTGCTCCACTTTCTTATTTTCCTTGCTGTAGCCTCTTGTTCTGTGTTCCTTTGGTCAACATATATTTTGTGTGGTGGTCGGAAATTTGTTTGTCCTGCGGCCGCGCCTGAAAATCTGTTGTTGTTGCTTGGCCTTCTGCTGCGCCTCTTTAAGTTGCAATTAACTTTTTGGCGGCTTAAAGCTGACCATCAGGCACTCACCTCCCCCCTGGCTTCTATAATTTCCCAACCCGGGACTCGGCCTTATGAGGCCGCTGCACGCAATGTAGACGCAGGACTGGACAGGACACACTTTTTCATTTTAATTGCCTTTGACTCCGGTCCCAGGACTCGGTCAGGACTCGGGACTCTGACTATGCTAAACTAATCTACACAAAACGCAGCTCCCTTGGGGGTGACTTTTATACACCATTTCGAATATTGTATATATTCCATGGACGGTAATAATAATTTTGATTGAGAATAAGGTGAAATTGGTATTTTGTGATATATTGACATTGGCCGCTCAACGATGTTGTCCTCTGCTTAGTCACTTGCGGCAATTAGTGGAGTGGTCACTTGGACAGTCGGACTGTCATAGCATCTACATAGCAATTATGGCTTTTTATGGATAGTGGCTGGGTTGGTAGAGAGGGGATGGATTGGGGTTTCATTAGGAAAGGGTTGATTGACGCACTTTCATTTGCGGGCCAGCAGGTTCACCCCCCAGTCCTAGTCCAAGTTCTCCTCCTCCTTCCAGCCCTTGGATATTTTCTATTCTTTGTGCCCAAGCACTTGGCTTCTGCTAACACCAATTTGTTCATTGCTCTTCGGGGCTTCAAATTAAAAATGATGTTTGACAAAAAAAATGAGGGGAGAATCTAAAAAATAAAACCAAAACAAAAGAGATGTGATCAAAGTGGGGGATGGTATTATTGTGGACTAAGGTAATACCCTGGAAATAAAATTGGAGTTGGTTTAGGTGAAGAATTTGTTTTATATATATTTTATATATTATTTATTTCTTCAGTATTTTAGGATAAAACACCTCCCAATTTTTCCTAAAAAAAATCCTTTGTTCCAATTTATCAATATTTTCGGGAATTTTACAACCTTTCCCTGTTAGCCCAATCTACCCTTTCGCCCTAACCAGGATATTTCCAGGATATGCCCCTGCATATTGTCCCCATTTGATTGTGCAACTGTTCAGCGCTGTCGCATTTTATTTCAAGTTGAGTGACTTCAATCTGTCGCCAAGTAGAGAATCAGAGTCAGAGTTAGAGTCTTGAGGCCTTTTATTATTATTATTATATGTATGTACTTGTTGTCGTTTTGTTCGAGTTCTTTCAATTTGGCGAAATAAACAGTAGTAGAACCGGGGGTTGTGCATATGGCAGCATTAAAAAACCCACACGTACAATGTCCAAAGAAATTAGATGTCGTCGAGCAGGGGAGCAACAGCTCTTCTCTCGCTCGACGAGATTTTTTCCCTGTGACATATATATACAATAATACCGGGGCTAGGTGCACAAGGCACAATCGAGACAATGGCCAGCCCCGGCGAATCCTTGGCACACGCCCCTCAAAAGGACAAAAGGACACACTGCGCGACAACGACACTGATGAGTTTCGTCTTTTGTTTCGCATCTTCTATTCTGTGCGATCACCGCCTTTCCCTTCTCCTGGGCCCTGGACCACGCCCACAAATGATTAAGGCACATTATTTTTGTCGTTTTAATTTGTGTTTTTTTATATTTGGGAAAAGGTAGGGGCAGGGGAAAATGAAAGAAATTGCCAGGGTCTCCATGGCCATTGTCTTGGAGGACTTCAAATATAAGAGGAAAATAATGAGAAGGATGCTGGGAAATTAGAAAATATTACAAGTTGTTTATATAAATTTAAAAAATTAGATTAAAAAGAGGAAATATTATTTGCAATTTATTAATTTAATAATAGAAAAAATATTTTTTTATTTAAAAAACGTAAAAGTCCCAGGCTTAAAATTCACTTGAAGTTTTAAATAAATTTTTAACCCCTTACCTTTCCTCTTAACAAATAAAATTGTATTCAGTTTATTCATTTTTTGAATTCTTTATTTCATTTTGATTTTAATTTAATCATAAGTTTTTCTTTTTGCACAAAACATTGATGTCTATAAAAAATACGTTAGGTAGTTGTGATTTTCTTTTTTTTTTTTCATTTTTCCCGTGTTTATTTTTCTTGTTTGCATTTGAACCAAAAAAACATCGATTAATTCGATAACTGAAAATTTGTAGTGAGTGCTCTGTGAGTGTGAATGAGGGGTGTGAGATTATCGTTAAATGGGATGTTAATACTTTAGCATTAAACGTAAGCTACAATGAGTATATGTTTTATATATTATTGGTATAAAATCTATGCGAGTCTCGACTTGGGGTTGTGTTTGTGAATGTGAGTGTTTTGGGAATGAGTGATTTTATGATGTAAGTGAGTGAGTGTTAAGTAAACTAGTTTAAGTTAACGTTTAAGATTACATAAATTATACATATTAAAAATATGTTTGTGGTGCGCCTTCTGCTTTCTCTTTTCCCTTTCCAAATTGTCCTGCTGCTGGTTCATCTCTTTGCGAATGTTTCGAGTTCTGTATTTTCCTTTTCTACAATTTCTTTTTTTTTTCATTTTCTTTGAAAATAATATCACTTTGAGAGTTGAGACTTCGAGTTGAAGGTTTCAAATCCTATCTATAGGATATTTTTAAGTAGCTAACAGCCTTTATCTCCCTTGATTTCTGGCTGCGGATTGTTGTTGGCATTATTGTTGTTGTGGTTGCTATTATTGGATAGGGTTTTGTCTTTGTGGCGTACAGGGAGCAGCTTGATCACATGATTCCTTTGGGCCACCTCAGATTTACTGTACTCGTCAACGAACTGGAAGGGGGAGGGGAATTTAAATTAATTTAAATTAATTAGTTTAGGAAATACATTAAAAAAAAGTAAGAAATACATAAATTTTTAAGAAATAATCTAAAGAAATTATTCTTAGTGCAATTTTTGTACGCTGGGGATGACAGAAATGATCGATATATTAGAACACCTTCGATATTTGATACTACAATTCGTAAATCGATAAATCCATATTCTGTTTGATATCTCAAGATAATATTATCGACAAGAGATATATAAGAAAATTGACATGACACATTTTTCGATATCGTTAAATCATTGAAAATGCCTTTTTTTATTTTTTTTTTTTAAATTTAGAAAGATCAAATGCAACGAAAACGATAAGTTTCGATATATCAAAGTTAATTATTTTCAAAATGTTTTTGAAAATATTTACTTCAAATGCTTAAAATCTTCTTTTAAACACATGGGTTATCATACAAAAATTCTTTCTCGAACCTGTTTCATCAATGAATATTATAAAATATATTATTAATTAATATTATATAATTTAAAAATGTACTTAAACTCACCGCCATATCGAAATCCTTCGAAATAAGCTCCCTCGCCGCCGCATTGCCAAAGCACATGGTTACCAAAAACGGATAAATCACCGGATTAAACTGCGTTGGCAGTTTGGCCAGACTCTTGAAGATCACCACAAATGGCTCAGAGATGAGCAGATCCTGATGCCTTCGATTATTCACACAAAAGAAGGCCAGCGAGGCAATCAAATCAATCAACATGGTGGTGTTGTCATTCTTCTTTGTCCATGGAGCATTTGTTACACTACAGTTCAGGATGAGGGTCATCACGTCCAGCAGCTTCAGCGACAAAGGACCCTCCACGGTCAAAGCCTCCTGATAAAAATAAAATAAAATAAAGCACATTTAATTGGCAACACACACAGACACAATACAATGGACAGAATAAACCAAAATCACTGAGCAAATGTTTTAATTAAGTCAAAGCAAATATCGAAAGAGTGGCACTTGTTTAGGGCAGGAAATGAAGGGCCAAGCACATCCTGTGGCCAGAAATGTTTATATAGCTGACTCTCCACACATCTACATATATATATATATATATATTTCTGTGCTATTTGCATAAGGGACGAGTGCCGACAAGAGAGCCGCTTCTAATTTGTTTGTCCTGGCAGGCCGAAACTTGATTCAACAACTCAACTGGCTAACTGAAACTGGCAACTTGTTCGAGGACGAGGACGTGGACGTGGACGAGTACGAGCACTAAGCAAATATTTAGCCAAACAATTGACATGCCTGGCTGGCTAGAACAACGCCTGCCACCCGACCCTCAGCGGCAGGATATGAGCGAGCGGCAAGGATTTGCCAGGCGGAAGAAACAACAAAAAAAAAAAGCCCAAATGCGGCGGCTTTGGGTTAAACTTGAAAATTTCATTTTACAAAGTCAATATTTACGCAAAAAACAAGACTGGCAAGGCAGAGAGCGCGCCTCGAAATTGAGTTTGCTGATTAAAACCGAATCAAATTATTTGCCAAAACGACGCAGCAGCAAAGTTGTTGAGCTGAGCCTGGCGAACCCACACCAAGCAAAACAAAACGAAACGAAACCCTTATCTATTTTTGTGGTAATTTAAAACAAATAGCTCTAATCCCCATGCCATTCCAGGGGAATGGAGTTGGAAGCTCCCTGCAAAGTTTGTCTATCAAATTAGTTTGTCAAGTGCGTAGAGAGAAAGACTTGGTTGCCTCTCGGCCCAGCCTCCGGCCTGCTGCATCGACTAAATATTGACACGTGCAACAGCAGCAGACGCACACTCTCGAATAGTCGAAATCCTCGGAATATTCGGAGAGAGATTCCCGGTTCAAGGTACACACAGGAAATGAAATCCAAAGCCAGTCAGGAACACACTTTGCCAAAAAACTTTGGGCAGAAAGGAGAGCTTTAGAGGTGGCTAATTAGCATATTGAATGTATTTTAAAAGAAATAATCAAGGAAAATTCTTAGAAATTAAATAATAGAAGGCAACTTTTGGTTATCAATCAGAAAAGTTAAGCATTTTTAGGAAATAGAAGAGTTTTTATGCTTTCTCTTTGATTAATTAATCATAAAATCTTTTATATTAAGCACCATTTATTTCTTTTAGTGCATTCAAATTAAGATTTCTACGAATTTTAGAGGCAACTCCTCTAGGCCAAGTCTCAGTTAGATTTCCAATGTGCTGCTGTTGCTGCTGCACTTGGATATTCCGTTTCATTTGCGCGGTTTTTCAGCTGTGGCAGGAGTAAACCCTAACCCTCAACTCACACCCAAAAGCCAAACCTAAACCCACACCCCACATCCAGACCCAGCACCATCACATCCTCCACTCTGCTCATTCGTTTCGTTACCGAGTTGCCATAAATATTTGAGGCCGCGCCGAAGACGAGAGACAGCGCCTGACATTTGGCCCCAAGTAAAGTGTCAAAATATTTGCGTATGTGCCCGCCGCTGCCACCCAGCTCTTCCATTTTATCCTGCTGCTCCTCGCTACCCCCACCCTGATTTTCTCCTCTAAATTTTCGCAATATATAGAAATGTCATCGCGGTTCAATGGCGTTTGCCACCATCATGTTGTGTTTGTCATTTGCCGCTGTGCTCTGTTGTCTGTTAAGCAAATGTCACTCTATCTCTATGCATTTTCTGCTCCTCCTTCCCCTGATTTTCACCTGTCCTGCCCTTCGGAAAATGCTCCTCGTGGTAGCGGCACTGTCATGACATTTGGCAATATGCAAATATCGCTCGCCGCCCCAGCAATTGGCAAAGTTTTAAACGTCTCTGGGTTGAAAACTTTACTTCTGGGGTTTTTCCCTTTGCTCTCCTGATTTTTCCTACCCTTTGTTGTTGCTGATTTTCTTCAATTTTCGCCCAGCGATTTCACGTTCGACAAAGTTTAGAAGAGCTAAGCAAAGAAAATGCCACACAGCATAAAAATAAAAATAAAAACAGAGTAAAGAAAAAATTCTAATGAAATTTTCAATGCTTGAACAGAAAAAACCTAAGACGGACGCACAGTGGCTTAAGAATTGTTTTTAAAAATATTTAAATATTATAAAAAATATTAAAAATATTATTAAAAACATAAACATATTATTTCTGATACTTTACAAGAATATCAAAAATATTTTAAAATTACCTGCAATATTTTTCGATATTTAAAATTTATAAACACCAAACTTTACGATATTTTCAACAAATCCCTATATTATTTTCATTTTTAAAAATAAAATATAATATTTTCCCAGCGTTTTCCTAACCACTGTACCTGCGTATTGGCCTTAGGGCCGAAAAACTCTGACTTTTTGATTTGTTTAAACGGCAACGCACGACGTTCAAGGTTCGACGTTTGTCGCTTGCCATCGTCTGCCGCTTGGAGTTTACCTTTTGCCAACTCCTCTCAGAAATGTAAACTCACCTGAAAAGTGTTCACATCCAGCGAGGCCAGGGACACGTAGAGATTAAAAGTCGATGCCGCCAAGGCGGTCGTGCGCGGTGGAATGCATTCACCTGCAAAAACAGTAAGCAAGATGGTAGAATAAGAGTCAGGGAAAGATGAGAAGAAAACGAAAGAAAAAACTTTGAAAGAGGATAGAAGCGACAGCGGATATTCCCTCATAAAACAACGCTGAAAAAAAAATCAAAACTAATTTCCGCCTTTGCCAGGAGATCACGTCGTTGTTCCGATAAAGTGCATCCAGAATCTAATTAGCACCTCTCCCAGCTACTGTTTATGGCAGAGCGAGAGACTTACCATTGGGCACCACGCTGGCACTGAGCATGGAAACGGTACCAAAGAGATCTGTGGTCCTGGCCGCGCTCAGTAAACGTGTTGGATCCGCAGGACCTTTTCGGGAAGGAATAAAAAAGAAGAATTAACAACGTTGCTTTAGGATTATTTACCCAGCAGGCAGGTGTGACTTTTGACTAGGGGAAACAGTAGCCAAGAGATGACTCACCTGGCTGACACACATCCAGGAAGCGGGAGAGGAAGCCCAGGGTGGTCAACAGGCCTAGCATCACGCTCTGATTGTCCTCGATGGACTCGCGGACCTTCTGGTTGCGACGGGAGAGAATCTCAATGAGACCAGTGACCACAGCAAAGCTAGAAAGAAAAAGAAAATATTTTTAAAATATTTAAAATATATTCTGTAAATTTTTTTAGGTTTTCGCTTAAATTAAAAACAGATTACGATTAGCACAATGATCCATTTTCAACGATATTTAGTCTACAGTTTTATGTAAAGATTTTAACTACCTTCTCTAGCTTCTTTACTCTCCTACATATATACCATATAATTCCCAATTTAATTTCAAAATTAAGATCATTAACCTAGGATACCCACATTTCCAACCTCCTTTGACAACATTTATTGGCTTAATCATTCTCAGTGTCAGTTAATTATTAAATATATATATATATTTATATCCCCCCGTGGCAAGCAAATATATCTTATTGAATTGGAATTGAAATACTAATCTCCTTGTTTACTGAAGGATCCAGAGAACAATCCCTCCTGCTCGCTGCTGCCGGAACAATTGTAATGCCTTTGGGCGTTATCTTCTCCCTCCCTCTTTATACCAAATTCAACCTCAATCATTTGGCCATTTTCTTGTTGTTTGCTACGTGGTTTCCCGTGTCCATATGTTGCCAGTTTGCCTGGTTCCAACCCTTCTCCTCCCTCCCTTCCTGAGGTACCTTTTGCATCCAGAGGACATTCCGCACTTGTTAATCGCCGGGAGCAGCGGTCAAAGGCAAACCGTAGCGAAAAGGGGAAATAAGGGGTTACAATTCACGACTGGCCACTGACAATAGAACCTGGCCATGTGTCACATCAACCTCATCATCATTCGAAAGCGATTTAAATGCATATACTCCGTCCGGCTCTCTCTACCCCTTGTAGGAACAAGTCATCATCCTTGGCCAACCCTGCTCCGGAGAATTTCACCTCCTCCATCCGCTACCCATCATCATCATTCCGGGCCCAAATGACATTTCATTTGCTCTCCGCGTGGCAAGGTGTTTCATTTCACATATCAGGCAGCGGGGACTAGTGTCCTGTTTAACCTCCTAACTGAGCATTAACGTGTTCTGGTCCTTGTGTCGTGTCCTTGCTGCCAACTCCTGCTCCTCGCCCGTCGTTGTCATTGTCAGCGCAAATCTGTTTTGATTTTAATCCCAGCTTATGCGCAGCCCGAAATGCCTGAAATGCATGCCATCGGTCCATCGACAGGATGCCTCGTCAGGTCACCTCCTCCTTCCTGTTGTCCTTGTTGGTGTCCCTTCGTCTGTATTGTTGTTCAGCGAACTGTACTTGTTCCTTGTTGTGGGCTTATACACTTGGATAATTATTTTGTAATGAGAATTGGACTTGGAGGTGGAAATATTTGGGTTTGAAAATAAATTTAATATTTATAGGAGACTTTTTGTCTATTTTTATTGGTTATATTTGGTTTATATCGATATCTCAACGCTAAATGGTATATTTATCGATATTTAACATATTGATGCATTAAATTTCGATACATTCAATTTTGATAGATCAAAGTTTACTATATTTTCGACATGCTATTGAGTGCAAGATTTTTTTACGTATTTTTTTCTGACTTTTTCTTTCGAAAGCCTGTCCCAGAATTCTGACTTCAGATTTTTTCCCTTCACCTTTTAAGTCTCATAAACGTCTTTTTTTCGAGTGCACCCAAATCCCATGAAGCTGCTTCTGTTTTTTGCCGCTGATTATGCGACTTAAGTGCCGAAATCAATGCACACAAATGCCCAAAAATTACAAGCGACCATGAAAAGGACTACTTTTCAATGGAGTTTAAAAGGTGCCACTTTGAACCAAAAAAGAAAAATAGAAACCACCAAAATAAGGACACTTTTTCGAACCAAGGGGTTGTCTGATTTTTTTCCTTCTTGGGCAATTGCAACTACTATTTTGTTTATTAAACAAGAGAGACAGGGCCGAGGGCTGAGAGCCTGGGTTAAGTAGCGTGTGCATTTGACACTTGTTAAAATATTTGCGCCTGTCCCACACACACACACACACACATTAACACTCAACGAGGGAGAGGTCCTTGATGATTAAGGACGACAGCAGAGGGGGAGGAGTGTGAGCCTGCGCCGCGTATTTAGCGAACGTGTTTTCACAACTAACAAGGATGTTAATTTTTTTCCAGCTGGGGATTCGCTCCTATTTTTATTTCGAGCTTTGCACCAAATGCCTTTTCACACCCGAAAGCGTGTCGTCCTGTGTGCCATTCGTCCTGGCCTGTCCTGTCCTGCCAGTGGTTAACCTCCCCCTGAGCGAACTCTGGAGTCCTTCTCTCCACTTTTCCTGTCGCATTTTATTTTTATTTTGTCGCCATCGTTGGCTGCTGCTGGCTGGCTGGCTGCTGTTTATTTTACGGCACTGACGATTATGTCCTGTCCGGACTTCGGGGTCCTTGGTTGCCTGGGAAAAGGAAACCTCGGCCACATCCGATACGGCGCGACCCCCGCCGCCTGTTGGCCATTTTGTGTGTTTGGATTGATGCGACGACGACCCACGAACTAAATACTCTCTCCCTCTCTCCTCTTTCAACAAGCGGCCGCCAGGACACATGACAAACGATGACAGGACGAGCAGGAGCAGGAGCAGCAGCAGCAACGGCTTGGGACTCGGGGTAAAAGCATCCTTCATGCTGGCCGTGCTAGCTTTGTGCTTGTTGGTTTAAGAAAATTATTAAGGATATTTTTGTGGTGCTGATGAGTTTGCCGAGTACTTTTTCGTCCTGCGAAAAGCAAGCGGGGGTAGAGCTGGGTCAGATTGACCAACCAAGGAGAGCAAACATCATGTGTGTGTGGGTCGTCCTCCCGCGTCCTCTTGTCTGCGCTAAGTGTCCTGTGTGCAGGCACACTCACACACACGCACACACAAATAGCAGCAAAACAGGAAGCTCAAGTATGTTTACAGTTGACAACGGCAGAAACGCTATGGGGATATATCATCCCAGGGATCAGGGATGTGTCTTTGGATTTATTTTTAAAGGGGAAACGGAGTTTGGTGTTAAATAAAACTATTTTTTAATATTTATAGCCAGTTTGGAGAGTTGCAGAATTTATTTTTGAGAGCTTACAGATTTATGATTTATAATTAAAGGGTTATAAGTTGAAAATCTAGCTCACAGGTAACAGGTAGGTTTCTCAAAGTGTAGTGTTATTTAAAAATAAATTTATTTTGAAGGGGAAACTGGGTTTTTAGAAAAGTTTCTAGAATTATATTAAATATTTTATAGTAGGTATTACAAAAAATATCGGTATATCGGTAGTGTATTGAAATTTAAAGGGAAAATCGATATATAAATCGATATTCTCTATTAGGTTGTTTTTGCTTTGCAATAATTTCTACATCCTGTTCAATATTTGGGATAAATTTAATTAGCAAAAATGTTAAATATATTAAAATTATATTTTAAAATAACGACATAAGTTCAATAAATCGATAAACCTTAAAGCTTTGAAAACTCGCTTCCAATTTAAGCTTTCATCTTTTCTCCAGACTAAAATGAAATATATATTTATATACCCAAATCCCTGATATATTTCTAGACATTTCTGTTCACTCAACTTTGGCTATTTTTGCTAAGTATCATAAGCTAACCACACAGTTCTCCAAAAATATATAGAAAAGAATGGGTGGTTTTTGGGTTCTCTTGCTGGCAGAGGCACGTAGTCCTTGATGCTTTGTTTGTCCTCCTCTTGGGGCAACTCTGTGTGTGTTTTGGTGTGTGTGCTTGCTGTGTGTGTAGATGAACGCTTGAGTAATGGACGCTTTTATTTGCAAACAGGACTGCTTCTGCTGTCAAAAAGGGGTCAAAATGGATTTTTTGGCTATATAAAAATTGGTAACGCTTGGGCCGTGTGTTTGCCAGTCAAGAAATGTGAAGCATTGTCATTGGCATATCAATCATTTCCTCTGATCTGTGCAGGAAAATCTGTATGCCATTCATTTATATTGTAAACATCGAAACATGAATGCCAACTGCAAACGCCTTTCGTTTATTGTGATAAATCACAGAGCAGCAGCTACAGCAGCAGCAGTGGAAAATAATGAAAGGACTTGGAGTGTGGGTTTCTATTTGATATTTTTAGTGTTTCGGCTAATTGAAATCAAAACATCAACTGAGAAAATTTATTTGCACAACAATTTCTCTTTCTTTCTTGTCGGGGAAAAATAAATGAGGAGAGGGGGAGGCGGTCACCGACTTGCACTTGAATCCTGTTTTCAAAATCTGCTCAATGCATGCAATGTCACACGCAGACCCAGAGTCCTGTGAGTGTCTCCCCCCGCCCTCTCTCTATAAATCCTCTTGGTATTTGCTTACAAACATTTAGCAGCATTTTATGAACGAAACGAGTGTATACGAACGAGTGTGTATATATTTGAAAATCTTTTGCTAATCGCTTTTTGCATTTCGCACATTTTGAGCACATTTAATGCTGGACGCGTGCTCCTCATTAGCATATGAAAGAATTATATTGCCATTGTCGGTCGGTTGGCGGACTGCACGTGGCGTATTTTTTCAAAATGAGCATTTTTTTGTGCTTAAAAATGTTTATGGTATTTTGGTTGGCTTAACGTAGGAAAAATGTATTCCCACTTTTAAATGTTGTCAAACGAATTAAGCAAATTAATTTTAAAGTCCAAAAACAAAACATGTTATGCGAGTATGAATAAGCATAAGTTTTATATATTGGGTATTGATTTCATTTAACTAATTGATTAAATTATTGGGAATATGCAAAGGGATATTATTGGGGTGTTTATTATTACAAAAATTTTTATAAATTGTAGTTTAATATTGAATAAATGTGAAATATGATACTAATTATATTTAAAAGGTAGTAAAAAGTACTTGGTATTGTTATAAAAATATTTAGACACTTTTTGAAAATATTTTAAATGTTTATTTAGTTTTTAAAATATATTAACAAACACAGAAACTGTTTTTTATGTTTTTTACCGTATGAATTATATAATTTTATTTTACTTATGGTTTATATATTTTGAATATCATTAAAAGGTTTATTTATTTTTTAAGATATATTTACAGACACAGGAA